CTCGATTGGCCGTGGCCATATTCAGTCCTGTGCAACCTGACCTGACCTGACCTGACCTGGTCTGGGGTTCAACCTCCATGTTTCGATTTCTTACTTCTCTTGTTGGTGTACATCTATTTAGGGATGACGCAGAAAAAACGCCTTCCGGTTTCCTTTTGTTTTTCTTAGTCTGGGTAGCCAACGATGCCTTCAGAATTCTCCTGAACTCCTAGGCTGGTGTTGCGCACTGGTTATACACCCACTTAAAGGACTTATGCTCAATGTGGAATTGATATGCATTTTTGCTCATTTGAGAGCATCTCTGGTAGTATCACACTCCACAGGAATCGCACTGAATCCCTTGGGCGACATATTCTCCGCAACAATTGCCAACACACGCATTGAAACCTTTTGTTTATGTCGTTCCAAAATAAACGAGAAAGTCCAAATAAATTGTTCTCTAACTCTGTAAAAACAGACACGATGTAATACAAAGAATACACTTTTACCAAACTCAAAAATAAATTCTTCACGCCTGCGAAACACTAAATTGCCTAGTAGAAGATTTGTGATTTTTGACAAATTACGAACGATACTGGTAAACGGAAACCTCCTACAAGAGTTATCGGAGCAAAAAATCTACTGATATTTCACTAATACCGCCCAAAAAATGTAAACGAGTTAGAGCATCGTGGAAATTCAAACCGCACGCAAACGTACGGCAAACAGGACGAATTGTGGCTCATACTAATCGCGCGTCCAGTTCCTTGTATAGTCGGCTGTTCGTTGCCTTCTAACATTTCCAGTCAATAGTGTTTTCTGAAAAGCGGAATGTTAACGTGCAGTATTAGATCCTTTAAAATGTTTCGAAAAGTAAGTCTAACGATTCATTTTCAACATTCAACTTCGGGAAATACCGCTTATCATCATTCATCTTGTGTTCTCTTGAACGATTTGACAATATTACAGTTAACCCACGCTTCAAGTAATTTATTCTACAGTGTTATAACCCTGCTTGTGAATAACCTAGCTCGTAGACGTATTCTGCAATGACGTTTTGCAATCTAAATTGATGCTCCTTCTTGCCCCTGGCCGGAAAAAACGGGAATACGTTTTAGAACTTTAGACCCGAAAACCCTTTGATAATCTTAAAAGTCTCTATAAGGTCACCTCGCATGCGTCTGCGGGTCAGGGGAACAGGTCCATGTTCCTCAGTTGTTGGAGGTATCCCATACCTTTCTGGCCTGCTACCATTCTAGTTGCTAAACGCTGTACTTTCTCAAGACAGCGTTCGTCCTGCTTAAAATAAGGCGCCCATGCCTGTACGCAACATTCTAAATGTGGACGCACTATGGATTTGTACAACGGTACAGAAACCTCGAGTCTTCTGCAACTTACTACAGTGCACAACCTGAAATGTTCGTGTCCAGCTTTATTAGCCGCACGTTTGCACTACAGTTATGGCCTGACGTCGTTCATAATCATTACCCCTAGATCCTTTTCCTCAGAGACATGCTGCAAATGCATCACACCTCTCCTGTCATCGTTGCCTCTTGTGGTCAAGAGCTGACACTTACAAAGATTCGGCAGTAGATCCCACTTATCCGACCACCTTCGAACTGCATCTGGATCTTGTTCCAGTCCTTCCCCAACTCACTTCACATTATCGGCGAACATGAAGAGGCATTTTGGAGATCCCTCGCAAAATCGTTAATGAAGATCAAAAATAAAAGACGAGGCAGAGGCAAATGGGAACCCAAGCAGCTGAGGAATCCTCCGGGTAGGCGAAGAAGGCACTGTGAGTCATGGGAAACGGCTTGTGGTTAACCTCCTGAGCCACACGTGAGAGAGCGACGGAGGCGCTGTAAGTCATGGAAAACGGCTTGTGGCTAACCTCCTGAGCTAACGGAGACAAACAGAACGACGATAGGCTCGAACGAAAGACACAGGCTGTAGAGAATAGCTATTTAGAGTGAGAATTGGTACTCCCCTAAATTACCCTTTGACCGTGTGACCCAAGGAGGGATTTTACCGGGCGGTGTATTGATCGATCTGTGAAAATCCTTCCTGTAAAGCCCAGTCATTTCATCTCGGTTCCACATTTCCTGAATTTTACGTTCCATTCACCAAACCTCATCCGCCTCACATACATATAGACATTTGACGTTCCACTCCCCTTGTATATTTACACATCAATCCTACCATTTGACTTTGTTTGTTTATCTGCTTCAATTTTTATCCTACTTGTTTTAATCGCGACTTGAGCGCTCACAGTTGGCTCGTTCATGTGCAGCGTGACGGTGAGCGTGCTATTCTTACCCAGGCTCATTTTCTTCCATTCAGATTTGTTGAATTACGCTCACATAACACTTGGCTCTTGTTTTCAAGTTGTTTTGAGATCACTTTGAGGTTTATACAGCTTTTATTTGCTTATTCGATCGTTTAATAATGCAGTGCCGTAGAAATTTGCCGGATCGTTTGTTTTGTTGACGCTTTGGGATCCAATTTCGGCTACGCGTCGCTCGTTGATCGTTTTGGGAGTTACAACCTTTACATCAGAAGGAAACCAATGTCATTGGGAATCACAAATTTAATACTAGAAAGTTTACCGGAGAGTGTCTGGGTAGCGGTAAAACTGAAAGGAAAAAGGGAAAGCCTGGTAGACGTTCTCTATAGGCCACAAAATCATTCACAATCGACGAACTCTGCCGTGCTCGACGCATTAAAGCACGTTAGGACGTTGAACTGTCACCAATTTTGGTAATGGGTGTTTTCAACTTACCGGAGATCTGCTTTATTGCGTTGACCTGCCATGTGCGACCTGGGTTCATAACCTCGGTTTTCTTTGACACGGTGATAGACCTAGGGTGACACGAGCACGTCTGGCAAGTGAACCGGTAACGAGGGAACTCCAGGCCCTCGGCGTTAGATTGGGTTCTTAACAACAAACCCCCCAATGGTCGATCAGCTGGAGGTTTCTAAATCACTGGGACTCGGCGACCATGGTATCATACACACGACGGAAATGATACGGTCGATAGGGTCCACTCGCTGTAACCTATGTAAGGCCGACATTCCCAGCCTGCGATCTTTCTTAGAGTCAGGTGTATGGCCCCTTAACCCTCCTTGCGTCAACCATCATTGAAGCACAAGGAGGTGGATTCTCACCGAGGCCATGCGTAAGTTTGTACCACGGACACAGGTTCGACTATTCAGACCGGAACGGTGACTGTGTCGCTGTACAGTTAAGACCTTGGCACGGAAAAGTTGCTCGTTGAACCAATACCAGAGCTCCCATGACTACTAGGCGTATGCTGAATTACGCAATCAATGTGACCTACAAAGAAAGCAAGGCACAAGCAAGTACTAGAGGCAGTTCTTAAACCGGGTCATTGCGGGCCCGAGGAGTTTCTATAGGGACATCTCCATGGTGACCCAGGCAAGACCCGGGATCACAGACATCCGTCATGCGGATGGGTCTCTTACGGATGGCGACAAGTTTGCAGCTAACACCCTGGCTGAGTACTACTCCACGGTATTCAGCCCAGAACATGTTAGTCGGACGGACGGAATCGGTGGTCCTGCAGAAGACTCCATGTTAAACAGGTCCATGGAACCTGTGTCATTTTCTCCGGCACAGGTCGGACTAAAACTGGCAAGTCTCGTAGCTAAAACGTCACCGGGCCTTGACGAGATACCATCAGCAGTTCTCAGAGCAGTCAGCACTATCCGTAAGCAGACTTTTCAACCACTGTATGAGAGTAGGCGTAATCCCGCAAGAGTGCTAAATATGCGTGGTATCTTTTATATTCAAGTCATGGGACAAAACCTCACCAAACAACTGCCGTCCGGTAGCCCTGCTCTCAGTGATCTCAAAGGTAACAGAGGGACTCATTGACTACAAAATCAATGAGTTTGTCGAGCGAGATCGTTGCTTCCACAATGCACAGCAAGGGTTTCGTGGGAAGCGATCCTACCAAACCGACCTCATTAAAACCATGGAGTATAATGCATGTGCTGCGGACCGTTGGGTGCAACCGGACGTAGTCATGCTTGATTTTTCCAAGGCCTTCGATAGAGTTCGTCACTCTCTGCTAGTAGAGAAGCTGGCCAACTTGGGATTCTCCGAAACCCTGGGTCTCACACTATCTGTGCGATCGAACTTTCGGGTTCGAGTGAATGGCGTTCTCTCAGATAGGTTTGGAGCACACAGTTGGGTATCCTAGGGCTGTATCTTGGACACCAGACTGTTCACAATATTTGTAAACAATCTCCCTGTAGGCATACAATCAAACCCACTGATGTATGAAAATGACGTTAAGGTCTGCCTGGAGATTCGAAGCCAGATAGATAGGTGCGCCTTGCAAGAGGAACTAGATGGCTTTTTACCTTGTCGGTCGCATATCGGTTGCCGTTCAACTCTGATAAATGCAAGGTTGTGCACATTGCAGGGCATGGTACAAACGGCTACTCGTTGGGAGGTACAACATTACGGGGGGTTAGGCTTGAAAGGAACCTGTGTACAATCATTACCGATGATCTGTCCGAGCAAACTAACTGCAACACAGTGGCCTAGGGAGAAATTTTTAAACTGAGCCAACTCAGCCAACTACGCTTTACTCAATGTTTAATGAATTTTCTGATCGTAAGGAGAGCGGCGCTACTGCCGCGGCATAAGAAATGAGCGTACTGAGCTCACAAACCCGTATACGCGAATTTATTCCTGAAGACCCACAGTTATGGCTGGCCCCGGTAGAGGCCCAGTTTAAGTTAGCTAAGGTGACCAATCAGTTAGCCAAGTTTACTTAGTTAGTAGGCCACCTTCCAATGTCTATGGCCCCGGGTCTGCGCGATATTGTCTGCAACCCACCATCAGATCGACCGTATGACGCACTCCTCTAAGCGATCTTGGCAGAATAGGCATGCCCGTGGAATGCCGCCTGAAGCAACTTCTAGGCGACCCGCGTCTCGTTGACAACAGCCTCAACACACAAACGAAACTGCACAGTTATATGCAGGGCCAAGCCGCCAGTTTAAACGTCGATGAAAATATCCCCCTTTTGTCTTGGCTATAAGCTCTATCAAAGAGCTTGTCCTCTATACTGCAGTATTTCGGCCAACGATAGACGCTGACTTAACTAGCGGAAATGGCTGATAAGGTATATGCCGACCAGTTGTCGGTTCAATCTATCACAAAGTCAGCGCAACCACCGCCGTCTCCCGACAAAGCCAAACAAGTGGCCTGCGGTAAAGCGTTGGTTGCACAGGTACAGGCGTTGACATTGTCTCGTGACCGGCCACGACAACGCTGTCCAACACTCTCCCACCACAGGAGCCGGAGACCTAGGTGCCCACGATCACGCTCACTGTCGAACGGGATGTGCTGATATCACCGTCGTTACGGTGACGCCGCGGAAAGGTGCCTTCAATTTTGCACTTACACCCTCATATCGGGAACCGGCTAAACCGACCGGCCCAGGCGACGACCGTGTCGGGCTCGCCACAACCAAGTCCCTTGTTCTCCATCACCGACTGACATACCGGAATACGTTTCTTGGTTGACACAGGCGCACAGGTCAGCGTCATACGCCCTCGACCAGCTGACCTTCATCGACTCTCCACAGTAAAACTGGTCGCCGCGAACCGCACACTCATTAAAACCTACGCCGAGCGTAATGATCAAGAAACTTAATAGTGGTGTATACCAAAGGCAAGACAATAAACATAAGAACCAGCAATAAAAGCGGCTAAAAACGAGTTAATCTGATATCCACGTCGTTTTCGAAAGAAACTCGCCACCACACACTTCGCAGTGCTCCAATGGCGTCCACCGTTACAAAGCCGTTCTAGACAGCCAGGACGTACAAAAAAACCATGTAATCATTCTTCCAGCATTGTGGGTAAAGGAGTAAGGAAAACAGTGCGTTAGGTAGATAGGGGTGGGGTGGAGTGGGTCTCCACCTTCACACTGAGGGAATCGCATCCGCAGCTTG